TTAGTACTTAGGCAATTCTGTGCTTCGGAACTTCGGCACTTCAGCACTTCGGTAATTTCGGACCTTCGGGACCTCAGCAATTCGGACATTCGGAAGTATCCGAATGTCCGAATTGCCCGAAATTCGTCCAAATTCATATTCGGACCGAAACGAATTGCACATGTCTACTTAAAACCCATCTCTTTAGGAAAGCTTATGGCCTCCCAGAGTAACCTCTACCTCACATACCTGTCTCTTGCTCTCTCCTAAAGGGCAGCCCACCTTATTTGACTGCAAATTCCTGTCCTAATGTGTTTTACACCCCATCTCCCATGGAATGTAAGCTCGATTGAGCAGGGTCCTCTTCAACCTATTGTTCCCGTAAGTTTATTTTTAATTGTCCTATTTATAGTTAAATCACCCTCTCATAATATTGTAAAGCGCTACGCAATCTGTTGGCGCTATATAAATGGCAATAATAATAATAAAATAATAACCTGTATTAAACTACAAGCTACACCATGCGGGAGCATGGAGAACATACAATCATTTTACCCTGTAGGATTGACTGGAAGCTGGTAGCAGCCAACCAATGCCAAAGGTTACCTGAGGCGATAGAGACAGGTGAACTCTCCAAGGCTTACTTTTCTGTCATGATCTCTATTGGATGCCTAGACATAATTGCTGATCGTTCAGTTAGTTTAATTTAATTGAGTTTTGTTATGTTTAATGTCTTATTACACTGGATCATTATTTCATGTTTTATGTTCTTCGTAAGGGTCTACACATATGTCTCTCCAATAGAATTCTCAAAGCACCAGGTTAAGACAGATCACTTTGTACATTGGATCATTATTTCATGTTTTATGTTCTTCGTAAGGGTCTACACATATGTCTCTCCAATAGAATTCTCAAAGCACCAGGTTAAGACAGATCACTTTGTACATTGGATCATTATTTCATGTTTTATGTTCTTCGTAAGGGTCTACACATATGTCTCTCCAATAGAATTCTCAAAGCACCAGGTTAAGACAGATCACTTTGTACTAATAGGACGCCTGAAGATGACTAATTTCTTTAGTCTGTTAAGGGTGGGAGGTGATCCGCGAGTGTTTGATTTGATGGGGAGATGGGAGTTCTATTTGAAGATAGTGTGGATTAGCAATTTTACCAGCACCGTTATTGCTTTAATTTGCCCCTACAGAATTGGCACCATCTTCTCTTTAACCACTTAGCACCTACTGCCTGCCATATAAAGCTCTTTCAATGTCAGATGAGGGCCCACACATATACGCTTTTAGTTACTCGCATATTTTTTATGTTACTGCTGTCTCTTTGCTTTTTTTATTGCCATATTTATATCCAAAACAATTAATGCTTTTATTGTGATTTTATTATCTGCCAATCCAACTAAATGTATCTACTATGGGCTCTCTTTATTACAGGTAATGTGCATTATGGTGTGTAATAGCTGGCACTAAGATAAAGGGCAGCTGGTTAAAACTGTGAAATAAACCACGATAATTCCACTGTTACAATAAATATATTTTTGTCTCTTTCATTTCAAGTGGCTCCTTTTAACTCATTTTATGGTACAGTATTTTATACCTCTTACCACTTGGTGCACACATACAAGTGGTGTATATTACACAGTGTGACACATTCTGGAGTATATACATATTTTTTTTATGTACCTTGCTTTTGCGCTGTTCACTACCTACTGTTTATTGTATCCTCTTTATTACAGGCCTAACCGATTGCCTGTTTCGGCACAACTCAACCGCCTTTTGTATATTCTAGTTTGTATGTGTTTAGGTTCTATTCGGCCTCATAATCCTGACAACAAATATTTTTACATTTTATTAGATTTTTTTCTTACAAATACTTGGCATATATACTTGGGTGTCAGTCCACAATAGATCACGTTTTTACCAACTTTCCAACCAATTTGCACATTGAAGGTGACTCAAAGCAAAGCAAAGCAGGTTGTAAAGTTACTTATCAATATGTCAGTTTATTTACTAAATGCTGGCTTGAAATCAGCTTCTTAAATCAGGTTGGTCCAGTTGTTCAGTATATCTTGCTGATGTTCTTTACCAAACAACTAGTTAAAGCATTCACGCAGCTTGAAGGGACTCTCCAGTGCCAGGAAAACAATCCGCTTTTCAATGCTTTCCTATGGGGATTTTAGTGACACTAGAGGTCCTCACATAGCTTGAGGACGTCCAGCGACGCTCTAGCACAGAAAACCTGTGCTAGGATCCCGGAAGTGCCCTCTAGTGGCTGTCTAGTAGACAGCCACTAGAGGAGGAGTTAACCCTGCAAGGTAATTATTGCAGTTTATAAAAACTGCAATAATTACAGTTGCAGGGTTAAGGGTAGTGGGAGTTGGCACCCAGACCACTCCAATGGGCAGAGGTGGTCTGGGTGCCTGGAGTGTCCCTTTAACACAAGCTATCGTAAACTATATAATTTCCTTCTCAACCAACACGTTTTGTGGTAGTGGAAAACACTACATAAAGCTGCAAAATATTTTTATAAATCAAAACTAAAAAGAGATTTGAATATGAAGATAAACACAACAGGAATATAAGTATAAAACCTACAAAACCCAATTAAGTAGTATTTATGCCCAGAGAGTTCCTTTAGGTTGATAAATGTCAACTCATAATCAACTTTTAGAAAACAGCACAAGCATAGGTTGTCTAAAACAGAGTATTAAAGTCTTTTTTTTCAAAAGTTTGTAAAAAAAATAAAAATATAAAAAATGGAGAGCACTCCAAGTATGCAATACGGGTTGTTGAATGAAAACGCCAAGTTTATTGTATGTAATACTAGCATCATGACTATAAAGAGACAGCTTTTTATATATTACTATAGAGAAGATCATTTTTCTTAGCTAAAATATTCTTATCTTGATTACATTCAATGTCCTTCATCTACATTATTTATCTTAAATAAAACATAAAACAGGAGTATGAAATAAGAGTATAATAGCACTCTGACACTAACAGTACATCAAATCTATAAAATAAGAAAAATAATCTGACACCACAGGCGATTTATCTAAAATAACTCATCTTGATGATATTTCTACTGATGAACTATGTGTTTCCTCTAGAAATCAAAGATATGTAAGTGCAGAAATATAAAGCCCTCATGATAATGAATTGCCATCTGGGATAGTATGTTTCTTTTTAATGTGTTCAGTATGGTAAAAATATTTTACCTGATTCTTCTTGATGAGTTGAGTATCCAAACTCATGCTGTATTATACATTTGCACAAGTGATTGCTCCAGACGTGGTTCTTAGGACATGTTTTGTTTGCCACGTGACAGCTGTAAAAATATATTTAAAATAGGTTATTGCCTAATGTTTTTTTTTCTTTACGCATTATGATCATACTATAACTATAGAAGTCGCATTGTTCACAATAGTAAAGATCACAGCACAATCATTATATATTGTGAAGGGAGAACACATCAATCAACAGTATGATAACGCAACTGCTTAATCCACAGGTTCAATTCCCAGCAAGGTCAACTAACCCTTTTGTCCTTCTGAACTTGATAAGTGCCATTCAAAATGGTAATAATAGAAAACATTATATGCAAGGGTCTAATTAGGTTAACACATTAACAGTGTATATTGATAGATGTTTGGAGAGGGGGATGGGTGGACATTAATACGACTACACATGCATAGGAGTTTTAGGACAGCAAGTCACACACTATGTATGCAAGGGAACTTGGGAGATACTCTGCAATGTTTGTATATTAGTTTCTGATCCAATATCACTAGGGGTTGAGGGAAAGGTGTATCAGGTATACTGAATTGTCTGTGTATTTCTCTCTCATCTAATAGCCCTAGGGTAGGAGAGCAAAGAGCTGGTGGATCAGGGATATTGACCTTATATACAGCAGTGAATAGGTTGAGCAGGAATTAACGGTCGCTATGGTTGGCACAGGGCCTATCATGGGAATTCAGACAGCACTGCATGTTTTAAAAAATAGCACAGAAAACTGCATGTGTTAATGTTTATATGAGGCTAAATCGTTCACCAGGAGTATATTTTTATTGGTGAATTATGCAAGCAATTAAATAGTGTTTTTCTGCTACATTTTCTGGTGCGACTGTTTATTAGAATAATATATTTTAAATACAACACCAAAAAATATGTTCTCATATTGAGAAATGTAAGAACTTTATTTATATATTATATTTAGTGTGTGTTTATACACGTGGGCATATGTGCGCTCACCAAGCATATATAAATATACTCATAGTTAGCATTATGGAAAAAAGGAATTTGTAGTGCACCCATTTAGAACATATCTAAAGATATACACATGATTTAAAGGATATTTTAATCCATTTGGAATGTGCATATACCCCAATGGGATAATTAATATTAAACAAAGATGAGCTGGTGGCATGCACAATTTGAGATGCAGAGAGTCTGGCGTCATCTATTTTTTCAACTTGTTTTCATCTAACAAAGTTATTTCAAAAATGCTACCAAGAAGGGGGATAAATCAAAGTTTCACAAAAGACAAATTCAGTGACAATATATTAATGCAGAACTAAAACACACTCACATGAAGGAAACACAGGCAATATTAGTAGAATGCATTCTCTAAAAGGCAAAATTAGTAAAAGGCATTATCTATCAGAAATTTAGAACAATCTACTGAGTTGTCATGGAACTGAATATTGAGGGTGGATGTGGTGCAGCGTGACAAGAGAACAGGTGGGTCATAGTATTTGATAGTGATTAAAGGGTCCTTTCACAGCTAAAAATGAATACATAAATAAATAAAATACCTACCATTTAGTAGATATGTCCCAAATGAAACCATCCATGAATTAACTTAAGCACTTTTTTCATTGGGTATACATGTAAAAACATACAGCAAAAGCTGCAGATCTCATATCTGCAGCCTTTGCAAGTCTTCTCACTTTCTGTGGCTGTCCAGTCACAGATTTTACAATATTGGTCAGGTTTCCCCAAACTCCGGCCCTCCAGATGTTGCTGAACTACAACTCCCATGATTCTCAGCCTATTTCATTGAATCATGGGAGTTGTAGTTCAGCAACATCTGGAGGGCAGAGTTTGGGGAAGCCTGATATAGGTAATTGAGAAGCTTTTGAAAGGCAGGTACTCTGAGCGATTGCCTGCTAAGGTACCAGGAACTTGGAAGTAACTGGATCAATTGCCCATTGAAAGCCACGGTGTAAGAAAGTTAATTTATAAAAAAATTCCACTTTCTATTAAAATCTTAACTTTTTATTTTTTTATTTTTTTTATTTACAAAGAGGACACACTCTTCATAAATAAAGAACTTCAGAAAGCTGGGTCGGTGCAAGGATTTTTGACCGGTGAAGACACATTTTGTCGCCCTTCCAAATGTATCTTCAGCTGTGTGTCATTTAAAATCTTAAATTTCTTACCTCCTTTGCTGTATGTTATGCCCCATTTTTCCCCTCAGTGTGTCTCTTTCTTCCCCTTCAGATCCTCTACCTATTAGACCAGGTAGAGGATACAGAAGATAGAGAAGATTTCTCCCTCCAGACCCAAAGCATGTATCTTTCTCACTTCCAGCCCCTCAGTGTGGCTCTATCTCCCCCCAACCCATCAATATGTCTCTTTCCCCCTACCCAGCTTCTCACTGTGTCTCTTTCTCCCCCACAGCCCCTCAGTGTTTCTTTCTCCCCCCAGCCCCTTGTGTTTTTCTTACCCTACAGCCCTGTGTGTTTATTCCTCTATAGCGCCTTTGGTGTCTTTCTTCCCAGCTCCTCATTCTGTCTTTCCCGCCAGACCCTTCTGTGTAGCTGTATCTCCTCCCTAGCCACTTTGTGTGTCACTCCCCCAACATCTTTTGGGTGTCCCTAAACTCCTTTTGTGTACTGTTCTCCCCATTCCCAGACCCTATGTGTGTCTCTTCTCATCCCAGCAACTCTATGCGTCTTTTCCACTCTAGCCCCTTGTCTCTCGCTCTCCTTGTGTGCCTCTTTTTCCCATTCTTCAATCTATTTTGTGGGTCTCTTTATCTCCCTGCCTCCAAAGCTTTTTTTGGTCTCACTCCTCCTCCTTTGTGGTCGCCCCCTCTCCTCTCCTCTCCTGTGCTGCATACCTCCTTCCTTGTAGTGTGGCTATGTAGTGTGTAGTGTGGCTATGTAGACTGTGGCAAAGGATCTGCTGAATTCTCTACCTGGTCTGATAGGAAGATGTTCATTTCTCCCTGCGAGCACTGCCTGTCAGACCAGGTAGAAGATACAGACAATCCTCTGCCATGGTCCACTGGACCATGCTAAAAGAAGTGGTTGATAAAAGGGGGAGCCTTGTGCTCTTTACTCCTGCTGGTCACCAGGACTTAGTGACCACTTGGTTAGTGTGCCCTAAGGTGGCTGCCTGTGTCGCCTTATAGTTGCATCTGCCCTGTCAGTAAGCTACAGAGATTTAGGTGTTTGGAATGTCCGTTTAGCTGTAAAGCCAAGTCTGCATTCACTTCGGATAGAGTATCCTATAGCTGGTGCTATTTGGGTTAGATTTATCAAAATATTCTGCATTTAAAAAAGTGGTCTAAAGTTCAAAAAGTGAGGGAATCCCCATGGAAACCAGTGGAACCAACAGGCACTTATATTTCAACAGCAGAACAGTGGAAATAATTATTATGTTGCCACTTAAAGTATTCATTCACCAGTTACTGCAACAATTATAGTAATTAAGATATTCAGTGCCAGGGATAATATGATGTTCATTCCTATAGTGAAGATGCCACACAAATGATTATTAGATTGAGGACATTTATTCATGATATGCCAGTATGCTTGCAAATGCAAAGTGTCTTGGCTACAGATACATAGCTGTGCAATGATTCTAGTTACCATCTGATCTACACCCTGAAGACCAGTGGATGTATGGATGTAATAATTACAGAGATGTTTGCAATATAATATTTACAAAACTATTATTATATAATTTAGGAATAATTTAATTTAAATAAACTATCAACATTTAATATATAAGAATATTATAAGCATTTGATTTGTATTCTTTTTTGCATAACGTTAATTTCCTGTATAATATATATTTTCTACATAATGGACTAGAAATGGGTGGAGGATTAAAAGATATAATACTATATATATATATATATTAAATATATAACTATACATATATAACTATTATATAAATAAATATATATATATATATATATGTATAGTTATATATATATATATATATATATAATAGTTATATATGTATAGTTATATATTTAATAGTTATATATATTATATGGACACTCACACATTCCATCATTTATCATCGTTCTACAAACATTCACAGTTACTTACAGACACAAATACACATACATATATACATGTAGAAAAGAAAGAAACAGCGCTAAAATAGACCAGTCCTATAAATAGATAAAGTAAGAGGCAGCAACCTAAAAATAGGGTTCCGCCAAAGCTGGCTAAAGTGTAAGTGGTGCCAAAACAAAGTCTTTAGTTGGGCCTGATGAGGCACCGATGGCCTATGTGGAGGATTATTCTCTCTAAGGGTCGCTTGAAGATGGTTTTACAGGATCCGTATGTAAAGAAAGAAACAAACAATAGTGCAAATACGTCTGATACGAGGGTTGATATGCAAGAAGAAGAGATCTATAGTAATCCTACTCACGTGTAGTAGAGCTGAACTAGCTCTAGTGTGGATGGCATACAGCAGTACAATCCCCGCTTATAGGATACGTAGAGAAGTATTGTTCTTTTGCTCCATATGTGTAAGAGAAAGACAGATGATAGGGCAGTACGCCTGGTAAAGATGGTGTATAAAACAACAGAGTCTAATACAGTCCTACTCACGTTTAGTAGAGCTTAAACCAGCTCTAGTATGAATAGCGCGTAGCGGTATAATCCCCGCTTGTAGGATGGGTGTAGAGGGTTAAGTCTTTTGCCGATATGTAGATCATAAGGGAGAAGAGAGACAACTAATAGTGCTCGCTGTATAAAAACTCATATAAGGAGTATAAATAATAAAATGTGTACTCACATAGGATTGAGCAGGCGGACAAAAGACTCCACTCCACTTGATAAAGCCACTATAGGTGAAACGATTTGTGACATTACCCCCCACCTGAAGAACGCCCACCGGGCGGGCAGGACCAGGTTTGAGAGGAAATTTGGCGTGAAAATAGCGAATCTTGCGGTCAGCGTGTATATCAGATGCCGGAACCCAAGAACGATCGGCTGGTCCATAAACTTTCCAATCCACCAAGTACTGTAAAGTGCCCTGAAAAAACCTGGAATCAATTATGGAGGAGACCTCATACTCTTCCTGTCCAGAAACAACTAAGGGAGGAGGAGGGACACTTGAGACAGTATATTTATTGCAAACAAGAGGTTTGAGCAAGGACACATGAAAGGTATTAGGAATTTTCAAGGAGGCCAGAAGGGCCAGAGAGTACGCAACAGGATTGATCCTACTAAGGACACGAAAAGTTCCAAGGAACCTAGGAGCAAATTTCATGCTAGGGACTTTGAGCCTGATGTTACGGGAATATAACCAAACCCTCTCACCCACTTGGTAAACAGGGTTGGCACCTCGACGTTTATCAGCAAAATGCTTGAAACGGTCAGCAGCAGTACCCAGAGCAGATTGAACTTTAACCCAGGTATCACGGATGGAAGCCAGACGGTCATCCAAAGCAGGAATAGCCGTGTCAGAAAAAACAGCCAGTAGGACAGTAGGATGCCGGCAATTATTAACAAAAAATGGACTATGCCCAGAGGAGTCATGGTCAGCATTGTTCCTAGCAATCTCGGCCCATGGTAATAATTCGGACCAATTGTCTTGAGTGCTATTAACGAAACAACGCAAGTATAACTCCAAAGACTGGTTAGCCCTCTCAGCTGTACCATTAGTCTGGGGGTGGTAAGAGGATGAAAAAGACAATTCAATCCCCAATTGCTTATTGAAAGCCCTCCAAAACTGGGATACAAACTGAGAACCTCTATCAGATACAATATTGTGAGGAATGCCATGCAGACGGACAATCTCACGTATAAAAATCAGTACCAGGTCTTGAGATGACGGTAATTTCTTGAGAGGGATGAAGTGAGCCATTTTAGAAAAACGGTCAACAACCATGAGAATAGTGGTATAACCATTAGAACTAGGAAGAGAACTGCCCCTACCCCTGTCTCTGATGCATCAACTTATAGTATGAAAGGTTTACTGGTGTCAGGATGTATCAATATGTCGGCAGAGGCAAACCGCTGTTTGAGAGTTTCAAAGGCTTCAATAGCCTCCTTGGACCATATCGTACTGCTAACCCCCTTGCGTGTCATATTGGTGATGGGGGCTATTACTGAAGAAAATCCCTTTATAAACCTTTTGTAATAATTGGCAAAACCAATGAACCTTTGAATGGCTTTCAACCCAGTGGGTAAAGGCCATTGTAGAACCGATTCCAGCTTTTTAGGATCCATCTGAAACCCCGAGGCATAGATATTATATCCCAAAAACTGTACTTCAGATTTGTCAAAGATGCATTTTTCTAATTTACAATAAAGTTGATTATTTAACAAGGTCTGCAGAACTTTTCTAACGTGATCATGGTGAGTTTGAATGTCAGGAGAATAAATAAGGATATCATCCAGATAGACCAAGACAAACGAGTAAATGCAATCCCTGAGTACATCATTTATGATCTTGGAAACCTGCTGGAGCATTGCACAACCCGAATGGCATCACTAGATATTCATAGTGTCCACTTCTGGTATTAAATGCAGTATTCCACTCGTGGTTTTCCTTGATTCTCACTAAATTGTAAGCACTTCTAAGATCAAGCTTAGTAAATAGTTTAGCACCTTGGAGTCTATCAAATAATTCAGCAATAAGAGGAATGGGGTAGGCGTTCTTAATGGTGATTTTGTTCAATGCCCTGTAATAGATACAAAAAAGAATCCTGCCCCTGCAGGCGAGGATGATTTTCGTATGTGGCCTTTATTCAATGAATCCTTAATTTATACCTCCATTACTCTACTCTCCTGAGGTGACAGAGCATAGACTGCTCCCTTAGGTGGCATAGCGCCAGGTAGT